CATCGGGCTCCCTGCTCCGCGGGAAGCCTGCTTCTCCCTCTCCCACTCCCCCTGCTTGTGTTCCCTCTCTCGCTGTGTCTCTGTCAAATAAATAAATAAATTTTTTTTTAAAAGGAATTTTTAATTAGAAGAAATTGTCTCAATACTTAACATTACCATATTCGTCTTTATACCACCATAGTTGTAAAATCTATTTTGGAGGAAGACTCAGCTCTGAGGCAACCTCTTCAAGAAAGCAAAAGCCATCAGGAGTGTCCTTCTTTGACCTCTCAATCTTATGCAGTTTTGGAGCTTGGAAAACCCGACTGTAGCCTTTTGGCTTCGTGAATCTCTCTCCCGCCGTACTGTTAGTACCTGCAAGTCCATAATCACCTCCACCTGCGTCTTCTCCTTCTTGATACCTGCACCCCACCTGTGGCAGAGCTGCCATGTTAGACGCACATCTAACTTCCCGAAGAAAATTCGGGCCGAGGCTCAGCCTGGGAGTCTTGGGGAATCGCGCCCTAGTCCCATCCCAGTAGCGATCCGGGCTGGGGTCCGCGGCCCGGGGAGGGGGCGCGCGCGCGCCGGGCTGGCGGCGCCGGGGGCGGGGACTCGCGTGTCCTTGCAACTCCGCCACACGCCCCGGCCAGCTCCACCCGCCCCCGATCGGAAGGAGGAAGCTGCCCCTGCGGTTCCCTTTCTTCTTCCCCAAAAGCTCCGCACTCCTCCTCCCGCCTCCTCCGTTTAGGTTTCTTACGAAAAAGTGCCGCTGAGAATTCCCAGAAGGTCCCGGATGTGAAGTCACTGGCGTGAGGTCACCGAGACTGGTTCCAGGAATCAGAAACTTGTGGGGGGGAAGGAAAGCGCGGAAAACGAGGGAGCGAGTGGAGCCGTTGGCGCAGTCTGCGGGGCGCCTGGCTGGGGGGGGGGGCAGGGTCGCACGCTTGGCTCCAGCAGACCCCCGGGGACGTTCCCCGGGAAGAGGGCTTCGCTTCTCCCACCCCGTAGAATTGCCGGTTAGACACCAACATACCGATCTGTGTTAACCAAGATCGAAAAGTCTGATAGTGCGTGATAAAGGTGGGGAAACAGGAGCGATACCCACTGTTAGGGGGAGGGGGGAAGGGGGCGGGGCGGACAGGAACGGGCTGGGCCTTCCAGGTTGGAGAACAACTCGGCAATATAATCAGAATTTCAAAGGAACCTACCCTTTAACCTAACCCCTACGCACGTAGGGAGTTGTCCTGCGGACGGGACTGCAAGGATAAATTCCTTAGGTGGCTCGTGGCAGCACTGTTTGCTGATAGACCAGACGTGACTGGGAGAGAGTAAGAGTACCAGCACCTACAAGCATGAAGTTACCATTTACCAGGGTGGGGAAGACTGCGAGGAGCCGGCCTTTCAGCCAGCGGGGTGAGGGATCAGTAGTCTGAGCTACTTACGTGGGTCAGGAGTTCAGGGGTGATAGAAATCTCAGAATTATTCGGAATTTGTAGCACAGATGTTTCCAGACGGAAACAGCTGGTGCACTTGGATTGAGAAATTTGAGGAGGGTTTAATGAAAGGGCCTTTCACAGAGGGTAGCAGGGTGCAGAGAAACCACCAGGACAAAGTAGGACTACCCCCCCCCCCCCAAGCAAGTAGCGATGGGGACTTGACCATCCATAGTTCTGTTGCGGGAAGGGTGAGAGTTGCCGGTACTTGGGGACAGACAGAGAGTGAAGTGGAGAGGACAATATCCAAACTTGTGTGATTTCCTCCAAGGAAAGGGGACTTATTTTTGAGATCCAAGTTTGGATGTTGCACGCTGACAGGAGTGGAGCGCTTCGGCAGAGGAGTGTAGCTCGTCCCTGGCAACCCTACATGGAAAACAGACATCCTGACCTCACTCTCCTCCCCCTGAACTCCTGTCTGTCTTGGCCAGCGGTCAAACCCCATGGAAAGCCAGAAAGGTCAGTCCCCGGGCGCAGAGCTGGGAGGAGAAGGGTGGAGAGTGGGTCTGGGGCAGCAAGTGGAAGAATGAGAGAACCCAGCTCAGGTGAGGGTGCTCTGCAAGGCGGGGGGGCTGGAGAAGGTGCTGCTTAGGGAGTGAATGTAGGTAGAAAAGAGGCAAAGGTCGCTGCCCTGGAGCCCTCTGATATTTAGAGATTGAGAAATAAAATAGACCCATGAAAGGATCTTCCAAAGCTGCATTGATTGAGACGCGAGAACAAGGAGAGCCATGCCCATGCTCAAGGCCTAGTGACACCACTGTGTGGAGTAGGAGAGAAGGAGGGAGGGAGGGAGGGAGAGCAGAAGGGCTGGGATATATGCTCCCAACAGGTCAAGCAGGATGAGGGATATATATGTCTGTGGGGGGGGTGTGTGTATCATGTACATAGACTGCTTCTGGAAAAAGACAAAAAGAAAAAGCCCTAGTAATAGTGCCTCTAGCAGAGACCGAGGGTAGACAGAATGAGGCCCAACTTTTTATTTTCTTTCATTTTGGGTATTTCTTAAAAAAACGTTTTTAGTTTTTATTTATTTATTTATTTTTTTAAGATTTTATTTTCTTTATTTGACTGTGAGAGCACAAGCAGGGAGGAGCCGGATGTGGATGCGGGGGCTCCATCCCAGGACCCTGGGATCATGACCTGAGCCAAAGGCAGACACTTAACTGACAGAGCCACCCAGGAGCCCCCCATTTTGGATATTTTTAACAAAGTACATGTGTGAATTTTATCAAATGGAAGAAAAAATTGTTTGTTCATTTTTTTAAAGATTCTCCCATGGCAGGAGAGAGACAATTTTATAGAAAGAGCAGATCCATAGTTTTTCCTTATAAACTGGAAGACAGTCTTGGGGTAGCACTGGGACTTGAAGAGAACCCACTGGAGCCTGGGAGGGGCGGGGCTGAGGAGAGTGTTGCTGGAAGGATCTCCTCCCTGTGTCAGTCCAGCCACCGCCTTTAGGAGCAGTGACCTCGGAAATCTGGTTTAAACTATGTTCTGTTTGCACTGTGATCCCCTCAGTGACTTGCCCTACCCCCACTCTGCACAATCCAAGACTTCAGGAAAACTTAATTCTTCACATTTCAGTAACTTTATAATAATTGTACATGTCATGCTTTAAGTATTTTCAATCTTGTATATTAAAAAAATAAATAAATCCCCTTCCTTGGAAGAAATCACACCAGTTGGATGTAGTCATCTTGGAAGAGAGTGATTCCTCATAATTCTCTCTCTGCTGAAGCTGTGCTTGGACAAGGTATTTCTTCCCTGCTGAGCACAGAATCCTTTGGATTAGAAGCATTTTTTTTTCCTTCCAGTTAAGAATCAGCTCCAAGTGGATATTACTTCAGGATTGTGCACTGATTCTTATCCCCATCGCAGATCCTGGGGACAGGAACCCAGCCTGAGGAGCCTCAAGGCCAACTTCAGGAAACTTCTAACACCTGGAGGGATGGCTATGGGAGGGAGGCTGGTGGAGGTAGCATTGGGAAGCCCATGTCCCCTCCTTTTCCTGGAGCTGCCTCCTTGGGCTGGGAGGGGGTACTCCTAGTCTAATAGACTTGAGACTTTTTGGACTCGGGGTTTCCCCAAAGGGGAGGAGCAGAAGTAGGAAGGGAGACGCCAGCCCATCTCCCCTCCTGGGCACTGGCTGGGACATGCTAAGTCTGGGCTCCACTTCCCTCTCCATCTGCCACTCCTAGAATAACTGCAATTTCTCAATATGCCCTATGCCTTTGAGTCTCTCGGTCTCTGTCCTGCTGAAAAGAAAATTCCAGAGACCTTGTCTGTGTTACATGACACTAATGATCAGTGACTACAATAGTGTCTGGCACAGTTTGGTAAACGGCATGCACGAATGCCCCAAAGGACTTTTCCACAGCTCTACCTACATTTCAAGAAGACTCCCCTGACCAGTGCTCACTACAGTCCCTGGCATCTCAGGACACGGTTCCTGGTGTTGGCGGCCTCCACCCAGTGGTGCACCGGAGCTGGCCCAAACCTCCTGGAGAGGTGCCTGGAGTGCTGCCTGGAGTGTGCCCATCTCTTCCCAACTTCTCTTGAGGTGCTGTTAGCTTGAAATCAGCCATGGTGGGAGAATTTACACTGTGGAAATTGGCAAACACTGCAGGTCTTGATTCCCTGCCCCCCCCCCAACTCCCACCCCTCACTGGTTGGTGAACATTTACCAGCACACTACTGCCTTGGGGGTTGGTTCTGCCACTTATAAGCTCTATGATTACGGTAAGTCATGTGATCACTCCGAGCTTCACTCCTCCACAATATGGAGATTCCCATAGTATCTACCCAATAGGATGGTCTGGAGGATTCAATGTGAATATAACTCTGTAATGTGTTTAGCACAATGTTTGGCTTCTAGTAAATGTACAATACAGTTTAGTACAGACCCAGTTATCTATTGCTGCATAACAAACCACCCTCAAGATTTGGTGGCTTAATACGCATTTATTGCTCATGAATCTGTAAGATGGCGGGGACTTAGTAAAGATGGCCCATAACTGGAGAGGCACAAAGGCTGGGATCATCTGAAGCCATGTCCACTTCTATATGTAGTATTTAAAGATGGCTGTCAGGAGCCTTAGCTGGAGCCGATCAGAACACCCACGTATGGTTTCTCAAGTAATCCAGGCTTCCTTGGAGTCCCGTGACTGGGTTTTCAAGGGTGAGGGTCCCAGGAAACAGCCAGGCAGTAGCTATATCACTTTTTCTAACTTACCTTGGAAATCACACAGTATCACTTCCTCCACCTTGTAGTCATGAGAAGCAAGTCACCAAGGCGGACCCATACTTAAGGGGAGAGGAATTAGATTCCCCCTTTGGATAAGAAGAGTGTGAAAGAACTTATGGACATGTTTTTAAACCATCACAACTGTTATTATTGTGGTCCTTAGGATACTCTAGCTTCTCATAAGTGAATTATCCCACTTCTTAGCCTATGAGCTCTCTGTGGGAGGGCAGGGATCCATTGGATTCATTAAGATCCCTCTCCCTCACTGCTCCCCAAGTGAACCTAGGTCCCTGTTTGCTACAGAGTTAGTAAATGTTATAGAAGTGAATTTCTTCTTGCAGGGGCTGGCCCTGGACATTTGTGCTGCACTGGATGACACCCCTGTTGGTCCCATAGAAACCAAGGTGAAGGACCTGGAAAGGGCACAGCCAGGAGGGCAGGTGGTCTTACCCGCCGAACCATGACCCCAACAGCCTCTATTCATCCTGGGGTTGTGGGTGACCATGAGGGTAAGTTTGTGGCTTAAAGAGACTCCCTCGCAAGCCTGCTGTGAAGATGGAATGGCAAATCACTGTCTGAGAGTCAGATCATGGGCTCATGATATAATTTCTGTCTTGGTCTTAGATGTCCCAGTCTGTCAAATGGAAATAAGAAAAGGTCTGTGGGTTGGGCACTGGGAATAGATGATCATATTATTTAGAAAGCTGGGCGAGAAACCAGTTTCTTCTTCTGGAAATGGTTGACAGGGTCGCAACAGGGGGGAAAAAACAGAGAAAAATGTTTCCCCTTCTGCTGTGGACATGAATCCATCCCACAGTATCTTTGAGATCCACAGAGCTGGGATCCCAGAGAGACGCATGTATGTGTATGTATGGGATATCTGGGGAGGACTTCTTCAGGAAAGACCCAGGAAAGAAAGACCCAGAAAAACCTCCATTTCAGTGGTGGGGGCAGAAAGCAGGAACTGGACCACAAGCTGGGAGGGGCTCAGGGGAATGTGGAGGTGCAGAGCGGTCAGGCCCAGCCCCTCAGCCGCCCCATCCCTTATTCCTCAAGGTCCCTGTGTGTCACATCAGGAGTTCGGGTCAGACCCTCTAATGCAGCCCCTAAAGGCCTCCAGGCCTCCTCCTGCACTGGTTCCATCACAGGGGACTGGGCCTGCCTGTGACTACAGAATGACCCTCGGCTCTGGGCCTCAGGCATTTGTAAAATCAGCAGAGTCGTCTAGAGAAGACCTTCCTAAAGTGGGGCTCATGAGTCTCATGGCCAGCAGGGAATTTGAGAGAAAAAAAACGACCTTGGGCTCATTTCCCCGAGAAGCGGACCCTGAGACAAAGATGTGAGTAGAAGTGTTTCACTTGGGAAGTGATCCCATGAAGGACCAATGGAGAGACCAGGAGGTAGGGAAGGGAAGGAAACCACCACATGGTGTGTTGATGTGTGTTTGCTGCTGTGGGCAACTGAGGCTCAGTCCCACTGGGGCCTCTGGGATGCTGTGTGCAACATGCCTCGGAGAGCCCCACCCTAGTCCGCTCGGGTAAAGGGCTGCATCTGGGGCGTTAGCTCCCTGGCACTCCCAGCCTGCCCTGCGCGCCAGTTGAGCACCATCCTGTGACCAGAGAAATACCCCAGGTTCAGCATCGCATGTGTTTGCAGTGAGACGCCGTGAGCACGTGTGGGAATTGGGAGTGCCACCGGACACGAGGAGGGTGTGGCAGAGTCTGCCACACTGACAAGCAATTTTGTTTATGTACATTCCATCAGTGTGAGATAAGTGGGGCGCCTGGGTAGCTCAGTCGGTTAAGCGGTTGCCTGGTTGCCTCTTGATTTCGGCTCAGGTCATGATCTCAGCTTCCTGAGATTGAGCCTTGCATCATGCTCCACACTCAGCAGGGAGTCTGCTCGAGATCCTCTCCCTCTCCTTCTGCCCCTCCACCCTTCATTCAAATAAATAAATAAATCTTTTTTTTTTCCCCCGGCCCCTAAATAAATCTTTTTTTAAAATGTGAGGTAAGTGATGATTTCCGTACAAATCCATTACCTTGCAACGATCATCACGGTTTGGTCGGTGCCCCTGTGCTACCAGAACTTATTTGGCCAGTTCGATTCAGCTCATATTTAGTAAAGAGAGTGACATTAACTGTAGTTCAACTTGCTAAGATTTTTTTTTTTTAAAGATTTTATTTATTTGACAGAGAGAGAGACAGCGAGAGAAGGAACACAAGCAGGGGGAGTGGGAGAGGGAGAAGCAGGCTTCCCGCCGAGCAGGGAGCCTGATGCGGGGCTTGATTCCATGACCCTGGGATCATGACCTGAGCCGAAGGCAGACGCTTAACCATCTGAGCCACCCAGGAGCCCCTGCTAAGATATTTTCAACCACATTCATGTTATTGTTTACATTCGTCATATTTCCATTTTGTTGTTAACTACGCTATGGTAGTGGGGCCCCAAATCATAAAGGTGAAACAGTAGTTCAAAAGAGGTTTGTTAAAGCAAAAAAGGAGTATTGGAAATAGTAACAAAACTGTGCAACATCAAATGCGATCATATATACCAGGGTAGATGAGTGTGTAGAAGAAGATGATTTTACATAAGTGGAAAAAAAAGTGTGAATCAGAAAGACAGATGTGGGAATGGATATCTGAAAGTAGGATTTTGTTAGCTGGTAATGCATTTCCTCTTCCCTGAGGCATTGTCTATTATGAAACTTTGTCAAATAGTGGCACGAGGCCCACTGAGACATTTGCATCATCTTCACATCAGGCCTGCAAGCTAGGTAGAAAACCAATCAAATCCTTCCAGAATATGGGTGAAATAATCATGTCTGTGTGATAATGATGCATTTTGCCACTAAAGACAGAGAAAAGATCAAAACCAGAGAAGCACCATTAAAGTTATCTAACTTAAAGCGAAAACCAACACACGATTCAAACCGTGGCTTATAAATTAAATCGTAGGCTACTGGAGAAAAGCAGAGCAAGCTTTGGGCAAAATTACTTGATCAAACAACACTTTCGGATGTCACATAAAATCAGTAGCACATAGTGTGAAAGAGCAATTTCTGTCCTGAGTGAGTGCTAGCAGACAATTGGCTTTATTGTTGAATAAAACCACTTGTGGTAAGCCTTGTTCATTGTTGATCCAGAATTTATTCCATCCCTTCTTTTCCTGATAACAGATTCCTGATTTTGATCCATGCACCAACATCTCCAATCTCAGGCAGTTAATTACAAGTAGTCTAAATCAATCACGACCAGCCCATTTCCCACTTTCCCAATCTCCCTGGCTGCTATAAGAGACCACAAAACCAGTTCTGGCCAATGAAATATGCTTTGAAGTCTGCTGAGGGTATATCTATGAAAGTTTTTGTTTTTGTTTTGAATCAAATGGGCATACATGCTGGTACCCCTTTTCCCCCTCTTCCTAAATTAACTGTGGTCATGATGCCTGGTGCTGGGCCGTCATCTTGCAGATATGAAGCAACCAGCACAAGGTAAAGGCTGAGAAAATTCTAGAGACATCAGCACTGACATTGCTGAATGTCAGTGGCTGCCTACATCCAGCCTTCCTGTTACAGTACAGAAGTAAACCCCTCTATGTTTAAAGCCACTGTAACTTGGATTCTTTGGTACTGGTAGTCGAAAGCATTCCTAATGGGTGTACCCCTGATGTATCAGCTCTCCACATATTTTCAGAAAAACATGAGGGAAGCCTAAGCGATGACTCTTGGTTCTATTTATCACTAAATTCCCTTGTAAGATGAAATGAATGAGCTTCTGGCTTCCAGCTGGGGTCAGCTATGGGGACCCAGCAGGAAAAGGAGAGGGAAGAGAGTGAAAATGGGCATTTAGCCCCTTGGTTCCCTGCCTGTGAGTCTTCCTGTGTTGGATACGGTTCTTCAGCAGGGAGGGTGGGGGGCACTGGGCCTCCCAAGGTAGCCAGCCTCCTCTGCTCAGTTCTCTCCTTTCTGGTGACCATCCCCTTTCCCTTCAGGCCTGTTGATGGTAACAGCTCTGCTGTGCCGTCCAGCTATTGCAACATCCCCCGAGGGAGGTGCTCCTACACCTACATGTTTGTAAATAGTCCTTGTAAACAAGCTTTCCTAAAATCATCCTATTCTGAGTGCGCCTTTATCTGTTGGTATGCTGACTGATCTACCAGCATCAGTTCACAGATTTAAAAGAAAACACACACATACACACACACACACACACACCCCTTGCATCAGAACACCAACACACATCACTGTATTCACAAAGACCGGCTGTCAGGCAACAATCTGGCTCCTGATCTCGGTATGTGTGAAAACAAGTAGCAAGAAGAGTCAATGCACTCAATTCATGGCCTCTCTGACTATGTCTCTTCAGGAACTGTGCAGAGAAATGGACAGCAAGTACAAGACACTGTTGAACAAAGTACGCTGGCTGGTGGGGAAAGATATTCACGTGAGGCTCTGAAATAAGACACGACATACAGCATGTCTCTGTGGCACCAGCAGCTCTCGGCTGTCTGTGACTAGCTCAAGCAGCAGCTCAGCCGCATGGTCAATGCCTTGATTACCCTGAACCTTTGGCTTCAGGGTGAGACTACAACCATTTTTCATGTTGAGGCTAAGATACCAAAAATTTGAAGACAGAACTGTGGTGTCAAGGCTCAGCCTTTGAGAAAATGACTCTTACATTTGAAGATTTTCTTCTCTTGGCAGAGAAATAAATCAATATACAGGCAACCACTAGAAAAATTAGAAACAGACTGTAAACTTTCAAATCATCAGACAAAAATACAAACACATGTACGCACACACATGCATATCAAAGAAGACAAAAAAATACACATGGTAAAACAGAAAACAGAGGAAGTATTAAAATGGAAAACATAACAGAGATAAGATGACAGAATTAAAACTAATATATCAGTTATATCAACAAATGTAAGTAGATAAACCCATCCTTATAATAGAAAAAAGACTCTCACGTTGAATTGTAAAATGATCTCCTATTGTATGTTGTATAGAAGAGATGTATCTTTACCAAAATAACTTAGGAAAATTAAAAATTTAATATAAACCAAGTTATACAAGAAAATACTGGGCTTAGGCTTCAGTTACCATCAGCCAGGGTTAAATTAAAAATGACACTGTTAAATGAGGCGCAAGGAAGCTGAACGGTAGAGAGAGCAGTACCCACATTAAGAATCTAGTTTTTAGAAATCTCTATGCACCTCTATAATAAATCTCTATAGCTTCAAAGTCAAGAATAAGATATGACAGTTCAGAATAACAATATACAGATAATGCAGGTAAAAATTGGATCAAGCACAAGAGGACATTTAAATCGACCCCATCAGCTCATGACCTATCAAGAAAACAAATGGTAAGAGGGAACGTGGAGAATCTGAACGGTAATTAAATATGATTGAACTTGAGAGGCAAAAAACCCCCAGAACCTCAAAATATTAGCAAATACAAATCAACAATATCTCAAAAGAATCATCCATCATATCCAAGTAAGTTCGTCCTAGTAATGCAAATGGTTCAATAATATTAGGGAATCTCTAAAAAAATAGAACATATTAACAGATCAAAGGAGAACTATATAATATCTTAATAGATGCCAAAAAGACATTTGACAAATATCCCACAACCATCCTTGCTTAAAACAACCAAACCTTAACAGACTAGCAAAATTATGTATAAATGGTATGATTGAAAATTGCACAACTGTTAGAGACAATAAGAAAATTCAGTATAGAGACACCTGGGTAGCTCAGTCGGTTAAACATCAGCCTTCAGCTCAGGTCATGATCCCAGGATCCTGGGGTCAAACCTCACATCGGGCTCCTTGCTCAGCAGGGAGCCTGCTTCTCCCGCTGCCTGCTGCTCCCCCTGCTCGTGCTCTCTCTCTCTGACAAAAAAAAAAAAAAAAGGAGGGAATTTGGATAATGGCAGTTTCCAAGGTTAATATGCAAAACATCCTTTACATTAAAAAAATACAACTTGTCAGAAAATACAATAAGAAGAAATTGCAGTTACAATAAAAGAGATAAAATATTTAGAAAAATATTTTAAAGACATCTAAGGGCCTTTATAAAGATAATATTAAAATTAGAGAGGGAAATTTCTATCCTGTGCTTTTGAATAGAAAGAACTCAATATTATAAAAATGTCAGTGCTCCATTAATCTATGAATTCAATGTGTTTTTTGGTTTGTTTGGTTTTTTTTTTTGGTCAATGTGATTCACTATATTTTTGTCTGTTTGTCAGGTGGGGAACTTGTCCAAAAAATGACATGAAGCTCAAAAAGGCAAATGAGCCAGGAATGTCCTGGAAAAGAAAAGTAATACGGTGGGGCTAGACCTATCAGATGACAAAACACATTATGAAATTTTATAATTTGTAAAGCAATTTGGTACCCAGAGATGAAACAGACAACCCAGTGGACCAGAATAGAAAACCAGATATTTTATCTGTTTAAGGTAACATTTAAATTAGGAGAAAAAGGTGGCTGAAAAATTAGCTAATTATTTGGGGAAAAAATAAAGTGGGCACACTATTCCATTCCTTAAGTCAAAATAAATTCCAAATGGATAAAGGATTTACATATTAAAAATAGACCATAAATCTCTAGAGAAAAGAATAGGTGAATTTATAATAATAAGATAATAATGGAACACACTAAACTCAGGATCCCTAAATACTTAAGAAATTTGACTATATAAAAATTTAAAACTGTGTAAAATATACTATAAACCAAGGTAGAAAACAAAGCGGGAATGAGTGCATCATGCGTGACAGAC